TTTTTTTTTTTTTTTTTTTTTTTTTTTTTTTTTTTTTTTTTTTTTTTTTTTTTTTTTTTTATGTATAAACTTAAAACAAATTTCCCAATGTTACATATTTTGAAAGAAGAAACTTTTTCTTAGTGTCGTCCTACAGACTGCGCCCTCCGATATAGTTGAGCGACTCCCGACGCTCATACTCGTTGCGTCGCAAATTTTAATTTTATGTCACGGCTAACGGGAATTATAGTATTCGTATAGAGGGTTGCAGTCACCTTTCTGCTCCGAATTCTACTGTCAGTGCGGTTTGGATTACTTAAAGCTGTTAGCTATTAGTTGCCAACCCTGGTTCCTGCCCATGAGCCCGCGCTTTAGTCTCTGTGGTAAATACTTGTCCTAACACTATTTATATCCCATCGATAGCTATTTATTCAAGTGTAGTACCGTATGTACCTTACCCTTTCTCTTATATTTCCCCTTTATTCGGTTAGCGTTGAGCTGCAAGTGTGGCTCTCTCCTCACATATAAAGTTTATAATAATGAACGTATTTTTTTAAAAATTAATTATCTTGCTTTCCTTCTTGTACAAATGTTATTGCCTATTTATTACTTTTATTTATGTTAGTACTTTTTGTACATTTCAAAATTGTCTATCGCAAATACGTTTTTTTTGTTGTCATTACTTATTTCACCTCGGCTTTACGTTTGCGCATGGGTCGATTACTGATTATGTAAATGGTCGGTTATAATATTGTGCGCCCTATATTGCCTACAAAGTCATATAATATATTCGAGAAGACTGTATAGTCAGATAATTTGACGATCGGTTACTTTACATTTGACTTGTATTTTAGTAGCGACGAGCTTGGAGGTATGAATTAAGGTGGCTCCAGTGCCTAGTGCCGTATCAAAATGGGGAGACTAAAAATTAATGATTATTTTCTTTAAAATATGGTATAAAATTATCAAGCCATATTCTAGATTTTATCTGTTACTTTAGTTAGTCAAAATAAAAAAACAAAAAAGTTTTACGGTGCCCTAATTGATGAACTGTTACGGTACGCTCCTAAGTTCAAGAATGTGGCAACATTGCTCAGCTGTAGTTATACCTATATATATGTACTCTGCAGAATGCAGACAGCTGAGAGCTGACTTGCACTCACAACTGTATACTTAGTCTCCGATTATTTAAAGATTTTGTTTGATAACAAGACACTTTTCTCATGTCATCGAATACTGCGTAATAATATATACAAGATAGTATATTTTTTACACCTTACGGGTTATTTATATAAGTGCAGGAGTAGGTTGTATATCACGTAAACTTGCATTTCCTATCCAACCCGTCTTAAAACTACGATTTTGTAAGCATGATTTCTTACAATTTTCATCGTCAACCTTAATTTTTTTTTTATACGAATAGAAAGATAGGAATTCAAACAATATAATTTAATTTTATTAACCTCGGTTGGGTTATTTATAATTTTAACATTGAGGCCACTGAAGCCACCTTAAAAAGAATCATTTTACAGCCGTGCATTCCGCATTTACGTTTAGACTTGTGTCGTACATTTTTCTAGTATTTTTTATCTTTACATTTTCTGAAACTATGTTATTTCTGCTACTTCCCCTCTCTCTTCTCTAACATGATGAGGTTTAGGATAGGGATTATATGGATATTTCTCGTTTGCTTTTACTCTTAACCCCACGCCGTAGATGCATTTCCTGATTTCGTTCGTTGCTCTTTTGCTGTTTTTCCCCTCAAAAACAAAACTTCCATTTTTTCTCTTTTTTTTCTTTTGGTCTCTGGAGAAAGTGCGCTTTCTAAGGAGTTCGCGCCGTTGTCTGAGTTTCTGAAGCTAAGCTTCGACACTGCTCATGTGACAACATGATTTTTCGCACCACGAGAATATCTGTGTGCTGTCCTCATGTACGCAATTCTGCAGGAGCAGCCCACGTGCACTAATGCACAATTTTGTTGTGTACGTAGTGGCTTTAATAAATACAAGCATTCTTGCCTTTTTTTTGGTTGTTGTAGATCTCTATGCCTTCTTTCCAGTATCAACGCCACTGTTTAAACGAGGGTGGGCTGGTAATGTGATATTGTTGTTCGGGAGGTGTTCCAGGATTCCATGAGGGCTTTCCAGCTGTCCTTCGACAGCCATGTCCTGAGGAAACACTGCCACACGCTGGGTGGGGTTGATTATTACTTTTGAGGTAGATGGTCCGACGAACGGGCTGTTCGTTATTTTACACATGGCAGTCCATTCCATATCTGGTGACGATTATGTGTGACGTTTCAGGTGTTGTGGTTATCAGCATATAATGATGGTAGGAGTGGGATTGTTTTTGATGGAGAACGACAGAAGGAAGAAAAAAGAGAAGGTTAAATCTCCCATACTCGACGTGGGCTCGTGGGCCTTTTCAAAAAATGGTTTCATTTTTCCTGCAATTTCTTTATTTATTTTTCATCATTTCTCCATGCTCTTTTCTACCTAACAATAATTGCTAAAATTTTTTTTTTTTTTTCAATAATAAAGTCAATCGGGTACTAAAGAAAGTTGTTATTTGTTCATTCTTATTTTCATCTGCTAATTTCACATTCTTTGTGTACTTCTCGCATAAAATTATTTCAATTTACAAGTGTATGTCAGCCTATACCTATTTTTTTTCCTTTTTATTTGTCTTTACTATCAATAATTTGTATATTTGGCCTGTGAGTTAATTCTACACCTATTGAGTGCGTCTATTCATTAGAGAGTGCTACAAACGCCGTTCATTCGCTTTGCTTTTTTTTTCATTCACGTTATATCAGATTACTTTTGATTAATGTTATTAATGCTTTGTTCATGTGTACCTCCCCATTTTAGTTGTTGTTTTTTTGTTTTTTTTTGCAAATCTTAGTCTAACGTATGTGAATATCTAGTTCGCGGCGCGTCCGGGGGCCGCGAGAAAAAGTTTGATCGTAAAACTAATTAATCCCTCTCTTCTTGTCATATTTTCGCGCTGGGTCCAATGGCCACGAAAATTTTAGAAAACTGAATTTTTGTACGTATTTTATCAATAGTCTTTCTCTACAAGTGGGTGGATTAATTGTCAGAACATCTGTTTGTTGCGCAGTAATCACTTATTTCATGTTTTCTTTTCGTATGATTTGTTGCTCACTCGCGGCTCATCCGAGGGCAGCTACTTAATGAAAACAAACGCTTTTACTTTCATATATTATACACGTATGTTTTTGTTTATCCTGTCTTCCTATACAATATACTATGTCGGTATACTAGCTTTATTTTTCTTATATTCTGTATTTCTTCTGTCATTTTTATTATTGTTATTATTATTATTATTATTATTATTATTATTATTATTAATATTACTATCGTTATTATTAATATTATGAACATTGATATAACTATAGTCGTTGTACTCTTTTCAGTCAATGGCTTACCGTTGCTTTAAAGGTCCGGTGGGGGTGGTGGTTCAGGTGGGGGCCTTATGCGCTGTTCGTTGGGCTCCCACACGTCAATCCTCATTCCCGGCCTTCCCTCTACATCTCGCATTTTAATGTCAATCATTACTAGAGTCCAAAATTCATTGGACCATCCCTCTAATAAATCATGTATGCTCGGCTCTTCTTGTTTAATTGACTCGATTAGATTCTTTACATGTTTTTTTTCTTCATGATTGCAACCGGCTGTTTCTACGAGTTGCATTATCTTATCTATCCGTTTTTGTTTCTCTAACTCTTCTTCGTCTTTTGTAAAATTTTCTGTTTTCCTTCATCGCTTCCTATTTCTTCGTTGAATAACCTTATTACCGCTTCCCCCAAGCTTTCGACATTGTCCCCTTCAACGTCTTCTGAGTTTTTTCGATAAATTTTTTCGTAGTCTAGCAGCTCTACTTCCGGAATAGGTACGCATTTTATCTCGTCACTTGTATTAATGCATTCTGTGACTATTTTTCCACTAATATTTTTGGCTATAAAATTTCTGAACAATATTCCTTCCTCCGTCTTTTGGACGGGTATCCAGCCACTTTCTTCTTTTTTCATGCTTTCCTTTATTCACGCGTAAATTATTTCTCTCGATTTTGAAGGTAATTTAACAGCGGTATCTCTACGTTATCCAATTTAATCATATTCTCGGCGGCGCTTATCTGGCCCTTATCTGACATGTAATATACACTCTAATCCGTGCAACTGAGCCTGTACTGTACCCAATGTTTTGCGTGCTCCGTGAGTCACGCCAATAGTAGCCACTCGATACTTACTATCTATTAGCATATCTGTGCTAAGAAAATTTTCCTTTATAATCGAAATCTCTGCACCTGTATCCACACAAAAAGTCGCCTTTACATTCTTCAACTGTGGTCCCCGTAACTGGACCGATGGTGGCATATGCCCTGTTCTCGCGAGTTTTATAGTTTTTCTGGGAAGCTGCTCTATTTCTTCGTCACACTCTTAAAGCTTGGGTTCGTCATTCTTTACATATGTGTCTGACACCCTTGTCCAATTACTCTTTTTGCGGGCTCTCCTCCCTCTTCTTGTGCGTTTGCCCTCCCCCCCCCCCGTTGTCTAGGAGTACTTTCACATTCTGCCTTATTACTTTCTATTTTTTCTTGCACTGCGTAAGTATTCGGACTGTTGTGCATCTCCACCTCCACAACTTCTTGCTCCGCCTTTTGCGGCTTCTCTCTCGCACCTTTTTATTCGCTTGACACGCTTTCCTCCGTCTCACTCTCTCTCTCTCTCTCTAATTCAATCTCGGCGTTTGGGGACCACGCCAAACATCTTGCGAGTTTAAAGCAGCCGATCCGTCTCTCCTATCATCAGGGCCGTATTCGCCGTTTCTTTGCTGCGGTGGGCCCCTATCTTATGGTGGTTCAGGTCTTATAAAGTTTCTATTATAGCCATCCCTACTGTCCTGATTTTTGTTGTTGTTTTTATAAAGGTTAAATGTTTTCCCGTTGTTGTAATTATGAGGGTTACCGTAGCTGTGGTTAAAGTAATAATTACTGCCCGTGTGATTGTAGTTATTGTACCTGTTATTGTAATCATTCCTATCATTATAATTGGTATTTCTATTGTTGTAATTGCTGTTTTCGTCATTTGCAGTATTATAATTGATGTTTCTGTTATTGTAGTTGTTGTTCCTGTTGTAGTAGTTATCATTTCTGTTGTACAGTTCCGATGGGCCATTGTTATAGTCCCTGTTACAATTGTTATAATTATTGTAATTATTTTTATGAGAATTGTCATTTTTGTTCCCGTGATTGTAGGCATTTTTGTTGGTATTAGTATTTTCTGTGGGTTGGTTATACCCTTCGTTTCGCTGTCTCTCCTCCTCCTCTCTGTCTTGCTTACGTGAGCGGCAGTCTCTCGCATAGTGTCCCGGTCTCTGACAATAGTTGCAGTTTCCTTTTGGTTCCCTCCCGTTATCTCTTGACGTTTTCCTGTCATTTATCAAAGCCATCAATCTTCGGCATTCCTCGACTGAGAGTCCGGTTCGGCCGTCACAGTATAAACAGCGTTTTTCATTCGCTGCTGCCCCTTGTGCCCCATTAGTGATCTCCGTTCTTTCTTCTTCCTTGCTTGCTAGATTTACTCGTGGTCCCATCTCGGTCGTCATATTATATGTAGGCAGTGCACTCACCGGTATCGCATGCCACAAACTGAGGTCGCTCTCTATTTTTAGTGCCTCTATGATTGCTTCACAGAGGGTCCTCGGGTTAAGACTAGTGATTTTACACCTAAATGTTGGGTGTAGACCATAAGTAAATTGTTTCACTACCTCTGCTTCTACGCTTTCCTTCAGCACCTGTTTTTGGATAGGCAGTAGGTTTGGGTTCGAATCGTGTAGCATCATCAGTCTATTGTACAAATGTTGCACCCTCCCGCCATAGTCTTCTATTGACTCGTTGTTTTGCTGCTTGATTATTTTTAGCCTTGCCATTAGGGTATCCGAGTTGTTTATACTTCCGTACCTGTTCAAAAGTTCCTGGAGAAATTCTTGCACCGTTTTAAACTGGGCCAGTATTGGCGCGAAATGCTTGGCTGCTTTCCCTTTCAGTCTGTTGGCAAGGGTGCCCAAAAAAAATAATTCGTTCTCCGGCCCTATTTGCCGTGCAACCATTTGCACCATTCTCGCGAACAGCGGTAGGTTAATTGGGTCCCCGTCGAAGAACAGGATATTGCTCGTCATATGGCAGAGTGTTGGCAGAATATTTTGTAGTGGTCTTTGTGTGCCGTTTTCGTCGCGTCCCATATAGGCTATCTCCTCACCTGGTTGTGAGTGTAAAAATATATCATCTTCCTGCCTTTGTTCGAGTGATTGTGGGACAGTCAAAGTAGGTTGGTCTCTATACGTGAGGCAAGCCACCGATGCAAAAGCCGCCTTTTTCATCCACTTGAGTTCTTCGCTGATTCGATGATCTCTCTGATTCTGCTCTCCAGGTGACGTTTTTCATCGTTTTCTATTAATGTGCTCTTTATGCCCCTCCAGTCATCATGTATAGCTGGCGAGGTAGGCCACACAAAAATATCTGTATCCCCTGATGTTCTTCGTGGGCCCATTTCTTTCGCCTAGGTCGCAAAAATTTGTGTAGTTCCCCAATTTCGATATTTCCTATCCATTACATACTGCTTTATTTCTATGTCTCTATCTAGTCTATCTCCTTTCGTATTATTCAATTCATCCCCTTTGTTTTTGTTTGCCGTTGACCCAGTTTCATTTATTGTTGTAATTGCTTTGCCTGTTGGGTGAACTATTTCTTTTCTCTGACTTTTCTTTACTTTCGCCTTAATTGAAGCAAAGATCCCCATTACCACTGCTCTTGTTTCCTCGTCCAGTGAATCTAATTTTTCGGGCCCGCTTGGTTCTAATCCTAATTCTAGCATTTGCTGTTCTGTGCCTTCTCTTTGTTCTTTTCTATTGAAAATATCACATATCTCCACCCTATCGTTTTGTACTTCGTCTCTGTTATTCGCAACGTCATAGTTCGTACCCCCTGAAAGAGACATGTTTGCTGCATCTGTGGTTTTGGTTTTCTTAAGTGTATCTGTTTTGCTCACACAACACACCCTGTTCTTATTTGAAAAATTCGGCTCGCTCTGAGTCAGTGTAACAGGCTCCGAGTGAGTGTAGACGCGTGTTATTACTGTATCGGAAGAGATAATGCTGAGGGCCCCTCTACCAGCTCTCGATACGATATATGTTATGTTCATGTCCTAATATTTGGTCCCTTCCACCTAGCTGCAGCAGCTTGAGAGAGAACAGACGGGCTAGAGAGTTTCCCTACTTTTCGTGCTTGATCCAATTTATGGCACTTATCCTCTCCTTAAAACGCTGTTTTCTCTCCCCTCTGGTCTCTGCTGTTTCCTGTTTTTAACGGACTAGTCGAGTTTTTGTGTTATGAGTCACTGACGTTTCTCCCTGTTCTCGAATTCTTTTATCACGTAAATCGTTTTCCCAACAAAAATTCTACTAATCCAACGAGTTTTAAGTCTATTTTATCTCGTGATTTATATTTTGCGTTTAAGAAAAAACAGTAAAAAGGGGGAGCGGACGAAATAATAAATTTATTTATATAATATATATCGTACGTTACACGTCCAAGGCCGCGACGTCGTCGCCCTCGACGACGCTGACCTTTCAATTTATCCATAGTTGACTTGCTTACGATTGTGCGTGTTTGTGCTGTGCTGTATTCTGTCGTCTGTGTTGTTTATGTAGTTAAGTATTTCACACTCATCCTTTCATTCTATTGTAGAGAACCGCTGTTCCCTTTACATTAATACTTTCGCTCTTCTAATCATTCAGTCTTCTCTTGTTGTGTGTTGAGTGTATATCAATATTGATTTTGTATGCGCTTTGCCTTATATTACAATTATATTTGAAATTGCCTCTAATTAGGCATCTGCTTACGACTACTTTACATTAATAGTTGTTTCACATACAAAATAATAAATTTGGAATTATACATTACGTTATTTTACATGGAGTTTCTATTTTATCATTTCCCATACACTTATTTATCGTTTGTTTATTTAGCAAAAAAAAAAAATTCCCCTACAAATTTCTTACCATTCGTTTAAACAAGAAAAGAAAGTGCTTTCTTGTCTTTGTCGTATGGACTGCGCCCCCCGATACAGTCGAGCGACTCCTGGCGCTCATATCTACTTATTTTCTTATTGATTTACTTCATGTGTAGTGGTCGACGGTAGTACTTTTTGTATAAAATTAAACTTAACATATTTTACTGTCATCACGTATTTCGGAAAAAAGAAATTTCTTTCTGAGTCTCGTCCTACAGACTGCGCCCCTCGATACAGTCGAGTGACTCCCGACGCTCATTCTCGTTTTTCTCATTAATATTATTGTTATCATTACTCTCATGATATTATTATCTTATTACTTATATTATCATTACAGAATTGTTGTTAAAACATAGTTATTATTGCCATTGCAATATACTCGTCATTTTACTTATGTATTACTTATTATTTTATATTCCTTACTTTTAGTTATTTTTCCTTCGGAAATGAAAATCGCTGTACTACGTCACGTGTTTTATGCGGACTCGTGACCCTTGAAGGATGTTTCCGTGCTGATTACTGGGATGTTAATTAGGCATCTTGGAGTCTTCTGCATTTTGATGGATGTTGGCTGCGGTGCTGACGAGTTTACTGCCATGGTTCCATCTCTTTCAGAGTTATTTTTACGCTGATTACCTGTGAACATTCTATAACATATTAGTAGTAGGGCCCCCCGATAGAGAAGGTACTTATACATAAGAAAAAGAAACCCCATTCCCGCGATTATCAGTCTTGCCATTAGGTAAACGAGCCATCTGAAATTTGTAACTTCTCTTCGTGTTTGTTGAATTTCCGCGAACCCGCGAGCCTTTTGAATAATCTCCCCTAAGGGTGTCCCATCGGCTAGAGGGTTGATCCTAGAGTGCCCATGTTTATTAATTAACTTAAGTTCCCCTTGTGCTAATAGTGTGTTGACACCATCCGAAACCCTCTTGTTTTTCAATGTTCCGTCTAGTTCTTCTAATATTCCATTGATGTTCATATTTGCCATCCCAAAGTAGGTGGTATTTAGCCTTTCCTCTATATTTGACGGAGCTAATAGTGTTGTGAGCAGCACAGCCTTTATTAAGTCGTAAAATGCCCGTGCCTTTTAATGAAGTTGTCCTATGGTTTGAGCCATAGCACTCTATAAACAGTGGCTCCTCTTGTACTGTTGTAAAAGCCCAAAGGTTTGGTGCATAGAATCGGGCCCAGTATGTATCTTGTACTTTGACGATTTTAACCGAACATTCTTTCCAATCGCTTATGTTGTGCTGTACTATAAGCCGCGCTTCGCACGAATGATGTTGCCTTATCTCTCTTATTGGTTCCGCAAGTCGCAGATAAATAAATCGCTCAATTTCTTACAGCTGAAGACTTCGAGAGCCGTTATTGCCATGTATGTGTTGATTTTTTTATTTATGGCCATGTATTCGTGCTCCGGCCATATATAGGCATAAGTATTTGAACTGACTAGGCCTTCCTGCTTTATCGGTAGGGGCAAAATTCTGTATAAATCGACGTAGTCTTTATCTAACAGGGGGATGCTTATGTGGTATATTAACTGATTGTTTTGCATCAAAATTGTTAATCTAGATGTATCTATTATTTCAAGCGGACTTATCTAAGATCCTGCTACCGGAAAAATAAGCTCAGGTCTGGCTAGTTTTGCCTGTATTCTGGAGTTATCAAAAATCGCAGGTGATATGAGCCTCAGTGATCAGATGTACTAGTCCTTTTGCCGCAAAGAGGACTGCATTTATTATAGAGTCGCAGTCTGTCATGTATTGCTTCACGCTTCCATCCAGTGTATTTATAGCTGCAATTGTTGAACTATCTTTTTTCTGCAAGTCGTTTATGTTTTTCAACTTCTTTATATCTGCTTCTATTTCTTGCACTCTGTGTTCTACATCGCTTACTCTGTTAGACATTAATTCTGTATGTGTGGCCAGAAGTTTTGCTATATTATGTGTACTGTTTTTATTCACGTCGAGCGCATCTGTTAATGCTTCATGATCGCTACTGTCCAACGTTCCGAATAGAAATTTTAGAATACTTCCCTCCCAGGGCATCATTGCTCTTTTACGGCGGTTGTTTATTCCCTGTAGCAGATTTGTTAATTGCTTGTTGGACTCCATTGCTTGCGTTATTTCATCTCCTATTGTTTGTAGTCTGAATTTCTGAGCGGCTTTAGGTGCTAGTTTTTCACTTTTTTTCCACAATTGTCTGCATATCAATTTTAATTTGGGTCC